TGTTATAAGATGTGAGTTCTTATAGTGTATGACTGGTGGGGTCATGTGTGTATATGGTGTCTAGAATGGAAGTTCTATGGGAGTTAGAGCTTGTCCATGTCTAGGGACTCTAGAGGCGGCAATCCTATGGGTAATCAGGTTTGTATGTTTGCTAGAAGGGCTGGAAAATAGAGGTTTAAAGTGAGTTAGAATCCGTCTATTTCTTAGGGAGAGTTTGGAAAAGATGGTTTTATGTATGATTAGAACTTGTCATTTTCCAGGGACTCTGGGCTGGGGAATAGAGATCTTATGTGAGTTAGGATCTGTCTATTTCCTAGGGGGAGTCTGGAAGGAAGGTTCTGCAGGACTTGTCTTTCCAGAGACTCCGGGGAACACCCTAGTGGTGGGTTGTTCCGGATGACCTAATGATTGGTCTTGGATGATATTCCGGTGAGGGGATGTCATATGGGCCACGTGAAGGATTCGGGTCGATAGGTACTTATAGCCACGTTACAGAAGGTGTCTGAGCATACTTGAGGGAACAGAGATTCTCTCCAGGGAACAAGTGAGGTTTCCTGTATATATCTCGAGGGGACAGATGAGTTCTCTCTAGGGGACAAGTGAGGTCTCCTGCACGCCGATCGTTTGACGGACTATGTGTCTTGAGAATGTAAAGGCATGGAGCATACCGAACCTGACGGGCGGCCGCCCGGAAGGTGAACGGATGTTAGACACCCCGATCTCAGGGTGACGACACTGGGAGTATAGGGTTTATATATATATTGAGTATGGGCATTGCGTTCTATAAAGTGATTATGTGTATGAGACTTGATGAACTTCAGGGACCGGGAAGGATCTCAGGTGGTGCTGGCTGGGTAAGGCCAGAAGTGTGGTTGTGTTTGGGTCTAGTCTAGGGTTGTTACTTATGTTTGGAACCTCGGTTCGGACGACTCTGGAACATATGTAGCGTCTTGGTCGTACATGTTCTTGTTTGATTATTGCACGGTCAATTGGTTCATTTACTGGGTCTACAGTTGGTCGGGCATAATCTTGTTTGATTGTTGTGCGATCAATCGGGCAGGCCTGGTTAGGACTATAAACGGTACATTCTGGTGTGTCTCCGGGGGAATCTGGTCGGATTTCCGAGCGAAAGTTCTAACCTTGGCAGGGATCGTGTGAGTGTAACTCGTG